GGCTTTTCTCCCACAGGCTTTTACTCCATTCACATCATCATGGTCAACTCTACTTTGAGGAGGCAGCTCTTCCCCAGTTGCATTTTGAGTGACTTCTAACCTGAGGGCCTCATTTTCCGGCACTATATCTGACAGTGTTTCTTTGCTATTCATAAGGTTTTCAGTGACTAAATATTCTAAAGTAGTTTGTCAGTCTTTCTTCCTAGTCTGTCTTCGTCTGGAAGCTCATCTGAAACCTGTCCACCATGGATGACCCTGCTGGTATTTAAAGTACCAGTGGCATAGATTTCAGAATCACAGCAACTCACAAGCCACCACAGTATGACAAACTAACAGATGAGTGGTGGATCTTGGAAAGATGCAGAGATATATATGTTAATTTTTAACTGGGACTGAAGAATGATAATAATAGAGTACTAATCCTGTTGTGGCGCTGTGGGTTAATGTGTCAGACAGCAAAGCCGTTTGAACTGCAAGGTTGGTGGTTCAAGCTCACCAGCTACTCCTCAGAAACCCTATACAGGGTTGCTATGGGTCTGAACCGACTCGATGGCACTTAACAACAACAACAGTATCTGAAAATGGTGCAGTTTGTAATTTTTCAAAGATTTTTCTAATAAGGGTATTGTTGGATGTTAAGTACCGTCGAGTCGGTTCTGATTCATAACCATCTTGTATAGGGAGGGTTTCTGAGGAACAACTGGTGAGTTTGAACTGCCGACCTTGTGCTTTGCAGTCCAGTGCTGATCCCATGGCACCACACCAGGAGTCCAATAAGGGTATGATGATCCAGAATGAGAGAATGCAAACCAGGAGCAGATTTTTTCTCCCAAAATTGCCATCCAGGTGATGCCTATCCATGGTAACCCCATGTGTATCAGAGTAGAACTGTGGTCATAAAATACTTGCTTTTTCTGTAGACTTCCAGGCCTTTCTTGTGAGGTACCTCTGGGTGGACTCAAACCTCCAACCTCTCAGTTAGCCGCCAAGTGTGTTAACTGTTTGCACCCCCAGGGACTCTAGGAGCAGAGAGAGGCACATTCCACTTGCATGGATGATTCCAACAGGGAACTATGTGGTTCATAGAAGATGTGGTTGCCTAGGGGAAAGTATTTGGAATAGTCATTGAATCACTGAAATCTGAGGCCTGGAGGTGGCTTTAAGTGTACATTCCTTGATGGGGCTTGGCAGTACTCTGAGCACACTTTCTAATACAGAGCAGATCCTCGGTAAGCATTATGGGCTCTTCCAGGAATGGGATAAGCTCACTGGCCTTCATTCTTTGAATTGAGCACAAATATGCACTCTTTGCTGTTTCCCTGGCGAAATGAACCAGTGGAGATAATGCACTGGACTGCAAGGTAGGTTTGAACCAAAAGGTCGGCAGTTTGAACTCACAAGCCATTCGTCAGAAATCCTCTACAGAGTCACTATGAATCAGAACCGACTTGATGGCACTTAACCACAACAACAAAGTAATATATGTTTATGATTCAAATATTTGAATAGTAAGGAAGTGAAATGTAAAAGGTAATACAATAAAAAGAGCAAAACACTAAATTCTGGTATTCTTGATCTGAAGTTTTAACACCACAAATCTATATTTTTCTTTAAATGCATAGTATTGGGTTTGGAGAAAAATATCTACGTTGGTAACTGTAAACTTTTGGAGAGAGGAGTTCAGGGGAAGAGGAATTGTTACTGTCAGTTTGAACCTGAAGGCTGGTAGTTCAAGCTCACCAGCCATTCCTCAGAAACCCTATAGAAGGTCACTATGAGTTGGAACTGACTCAAGGGCTCTTAACAACAATAAATAAGCGTTTATAGGGAACCCACGATGATTAAATGCTTGGCGGTTAACATCAGTAGCACTGCAGGAAAAAGACGTGACTTTCTGCTTTCGTAAAAAATTTACAGCCTTGGGAAGCCTAAGGGGCAGTTTACTCTGGCCTGTAGTGTCCTTATGAGTCAGAATCAACTTAACAGCAATGGATATAAACTTTTGTGTCTCTGAACTTTTAATATTAGAATACATTCATTTATTACACACTTTTTTACTGAATACCGTTAAATGAAATAAAAATGGAGTCACATGGTTGACACAATGGCATTCGTGGTCGACTGGACAAAGTCTCTAAGGTTTTTCTTTATTAAAATTTAAGCCAAGCTTTCCTATAAATCAGGCTACCCTAGCTAGCCAATGAAATTCTGACAGCGCATAAACCAATCAGAAATTAGCTTGTTTTGCTTTGAGTTTTGTCAATAAAAAACCAGCCACTGCTGGTACTAAGGGGATTGATTACCTTTCTACTTTCAGTTGGTGCCACTTAGAGATTGTCATCTGCCCAAATCAGAGACCTGTGTGGTGTTTTATAGGTTAAGCACTCAACTGCTAACCACAAAGTTGACAGTTCAGACTCACCAGTCATTCCTTGTAAACCCTACAAACCCCATGAATCAGAACCGCTCATTGGCACACAATAACAACACTGACCAAATAAAACTTATCCAATAGATTAATCTTATCATTGATTCAGTTTCTTTTGATAATACCTTGACATCTGTATTGAGGTATAATTTCACATTTAATAAACTGCACATTTAAAGTATACAATTTGATAAATTTCAGCATATATACTCATCTGTGACACCATTACAATCACCATGTTGTTGCTGTTAGGTGCCATCGAGTCGGTACCGACTCAGTGCCCTTATGCACAGCAGAACGAAACACTGCCCGATCCTGGGCCAGCGTCACTACTGTTGCCACGCCGGAGTCCACAGTCAACATTATTTATCACTCTAAAAATTTCGTCATGTTCGTTTACAGGCTCCCTTTTCCCTTTGGTTTAGGTTGGAGTCTTTAGAGGAGCAAAAACAGTGAAGAGAGAGAAATTTCAAGCAGAGAAGCAGAAATTTCTAACAGAGAAGCAGAAACTGCCTAAATCTGTGGGGCAGGTGCCAGGCTGGAGGCTTCTCCTGATTCATGTGGTTGCAGGGGTTGACAACGCAAAATCTGCACGTCAGATGGCAGGCTCACCTTGCAAAATCCAGAAATTAGAGGATTGAGAGGGGCCCACACCCCCAAGGAAACTCCCCTTTCAACTGATAGGCTGCTCACATCAGAAGGCAAAATGGTGTATGGTTACAGGCTGTCCGTGAAGCCATTGAGAATTGTGGCCTAGCCGAGTCCGACACACCCAACCCCCAGGGAATTGTTGATCTGTTTTCTATCACCACAGAGTATTTTGTATTTCTACAACATTACATAAATGAAATATTTCTCTGGTTTCTTTCACTCATTGTAACTATGTTAAGATTCACCCATCCGAGCATATTGAGATTTTGTTGTAACATGTATCTGTTCTTGTGTGTGTGTGTGTGTGTGTGGTTGGATGTTGTAACTATGTTAAGATTCACCCATCCGAGCATATTGAGATTTTGTTGTAACATGTATCTGTTCTTGTGTGTGTGTGTGTGTGTGGTTGGGTGTTGTATAATGTTTAAATGAAAAAAATATGGAGAGCAAAATGAAAGAGAAGTCTAAGTAATACACACAACCTAAACATACTAAGAAGCTCTGGTAGCATGTTATTGTTGTTGTTGTTAAGTGCCGTGGAGTCGGTTCCGACTCATAGCGACCCTGCACAGGGTTTCCGAGGCTGTAAATCTTTACGGGAGCAGAAAGCCTCATCTTTCTCCCGCAGAACCTCTGGTAGTTTCGAACTGCTGACCTTGCGGTTCACAGCCCGATTCATCTGGTAGCATAGTGGTTAGCAATTGGGCTGCTAACCTCAAGGTCAGCAGTTCGAAACTACCCGCTGTTCTACGGGAGAAAGATGAGGCTTTCTGCTCCCGTAAAGATTTACAGCCTCGGAAACCCTGTACAGGGTCGCTATGAGTAGGAACCGACTCCACAGCACAAACCACCACCACCAAACATACTAAAATGTTGCTATTCAATTGAAAAAAGAAAAACAACTGAACTATATTAAACATAGTGTTTCTCTACCCCACAATTCCATTTGCAGTCACATCTTCAGTTATATATCTTTCTAGAAATATGACTAGATGATTTTTTTAAAGATGTATATTTAAAATATATAGTCCTGGCGTGGCGCTGTGGATTAATGCAACAGACTGCAAAGCCATTTAAACTGCATGGTCGGCGGTTCAGGTTCAAGCTCACCGGCTGCTCCTCGGAAACCCTATACAGACAGGGTCGCTATGGGTCGGAAATGGCTTGACGGCACTTAACAGCAACAACAGTATTTATTATAAAAGCAATAAGTGCTCACTGAGGAGGGTAAAAGAAAATGCAGTAAGTGTAAAAATGAACAATCTCTCTCAAGCCCACAATTCAGGGGAGAATGCTCTTCGACTCTGGCCTCATTGCCCAAGCGCCATGATGAGTGTTCCTTCTGGAAACCCCCACTCCCAATCCGCAGCTCCCAGGAATACGCTCTCTCCTGCAGTAGCATACCGAGGTCGCTAAGCGATGCTGCCGAGCAGAGCTGCAGAGCACAGTGAGAAAGGGAGGAGCGGCCGCACGTGATCTCGGCCTCCAGTTTGAGTGCCTCCGTCACGTGACAGGGCCCGGAAGCGACTGCCCGGGTAGGCGAAGGGGATGGCGGGGGGTGAGCTCTGAAACAGGGACGAGGGGGCTGCACTGACGCTGGACCCGGAGACGGGGCCGGAGCCGGAGCCGGAGCGGTGAGTCTGCGTATTGACGAGCTCAGGCTGGCAGCCTGTCACTGCTCTCGGCAGGACCCACCTTACGTTCCCCAGGGGTGCAGTAGATGCTCCAGGTCAGAATTGGATTCATCTAGGCTGTGGGTCTGATGCTTATCGATAGGCTCCGGCGGGCTGCTCCGGAGATCGGACTATACTGGAGAATTCTTGGTCCCTTGCTTTATCTCCCTTGACCTTGCGGGGTTAGAATCTCCTGGTCCTGTTTGACAGGTGGGGAAACTGGAGTCCGGAGACTGCAGAGGTCGCGCAAATGACTGGCTTGGGCTTCTTCCACGCTTCGGTCTGGGGCAGGTCTCCGACTGGCGTGGAAACCCTGCTCCCTGACTGGCTAATAAATAATGGACCTTTGGGTTACAAAAACCCTATGAAGCGCGGGTTTTTTCCTGAAACACATGGGGTCGCCCTGACTCGGAGTCGACTAGCTCGTCTGGTAGTCATGGGTCATAGAATGTCAGAATTGCAAGAACACGGGCAAATCATCTGGTGCAATCCCTATCTAGGACAGTTTGGGAAACCAAGGCCCAGGAAGGAGACGGGGTTTGCCTGAGGTCACCCAGTGAGTTAATTGCAGAGTTCCAACTAGAACACAAGTCTCCGTAAGCTCCAGCAACTGTTTGCTCTTTACCACATTTTCTCCTGCAAAAAAATTGACAGATGTGAAAAGGCACCCCTTTTCCTGTCCCCTTTCTTTTCATTTAGCCCTTGCCCTTTTTAGCTCTCCGCATTCCCTAGTGCTCCATCGGATTGACTTTGGGTGTAGTTCCCTGTTTCAGTGTTCATGGTTTATCTGCTACCTCATTATCTTGTAAGTTTTATTTTCGAACTGTCCTGCAATTTTGTGTAGGTCATACGAAAATATGAAAAACGTATGTGTATGCTCCTGAGGGATAGGTGGATCCCCGCTGAACTTGAGGAGCACATTAATTTGGGAATAACTCTGCCATTAACTTGAATCTGCCTGATTTTTTCCCGTAGTTTGTCAATTTGGGGAATAGTGGTTTTTTGAATGATTGTTTTGCAGTGAAGATAACAGCATGATGTAATGACAAGAGTCAAGATTGGGGGATCAGGAGATTTTATTCTGACTCTGCAACTTGCTTCGCAAACCTCTGGGGGCTCCAGTCATCCTCTGGGCTTAGGTTTCACAGGCTGTGCAATAATGGAGTTGAATCTCTAAGGACCTTTTCAGCTCTGACATTCTCTGTATCTACTTCTGTTTGTTTTCTAATCAGGGAGATTGTTTTTTTCCCTTACGGATATTGAGTGGAGTACTCTAGTGGTGGTGTGGGTTAATGCACTGAACTACACAGTCAGTTTGGACTGCAAGATCAACAGTTCAAGCTCACCACCCATTTATTGGAAACCCTATATGGGGTCGCTATGAGTCAGAATCAACGCCACTTAACAACAACAACAACAGTGCACATTGAGTATGCTTTACAGCAATTCAGTTGTTCAGTAAGTAGTTTCCATTCGTTAGCATATTCCTTTTGTCAATTGCTATTGGGTCAATTCTGAGTCAAGGTCACCCTATGTGTGCAGAGTAGAAATGCTCATAGAGCTGTGACCTTTCAGAAGTAGATCACCAGGCCTGTCTTCCGAGGCACTTATGGGTGGATTTGAACTGGTACCTCTGGGTGGATTTGAATTGGAGTATTGATGTGGTCATATAGAATAAGCACTAGACTGCTAACTGTAAGGTCAGTAGTTCAAACCCACTGGCTACTGCTCGGAAATCCTGTTCAAGGTCTTTATGAGTTGGAACCAATTCAATAGCACTTAGCAACAACAACAACTCCAGTTTACAGTAAAGCATGTTTTCTTTAAGATGTTCTTGGAGTCAAACAGAAGGGGACACAAAATGCTTGGTCATTTGCTCTGAGTTTGAGGCTGGTTGACGGTGGAGGTTGCAGAAGCAGAGGCTGCTCTAATGTAGGTTTTAATTCAGTCACTCTTCCACTGTTTTCTGATTATTGTCCGAACTTGAGCCCTTAATTTCCCTTTAAAACCTATTAACTGCCCATTCATCTGTGACAGCTCAAAGTGCTTAGAGTTGTCTTTGTCTGTTTCAAAGCCTGTTGTAGGGAAGAGGGATTTCATTTGTTTTGTGAATTCCAGAGACTACACGTAGAACCAATGAATGGAAGTACCATAAGGGGAGTGGTTTGGGGGCCAGGATAAGAACTTTCAAAGAATGAGTGTTCTTCCCACATTGGAATGCAGAACATGGAGCTCACTGCCACCAAAGGTAATTGCATTGGCCAGTTTTGGGGAGGTGCAGATGAAATTGTATTGGATAGAGTTAAACTTTTAAGTTTTCTTCCAAGTGACTAGGCTTGTTAGTAGGAGCTCAGGTGGTGCTGTAGATAGGCACAGGACTGCTAATCATAAAGTTGGAAGTTCAAACACATCAGCTGCTCTGAGGGAGAAACAAGAAGCTCTCTGTTCACATAAAGATTTACAGACATGGAGATTCTATACAGAGTCACTGTGAGTCAGAAGTGACTCCATGGCAGTGAGCAAGGACTTGTTGGTGTGGAAGTTGAAGTCCTAGAGTAGATAAGGAACTCAGTATAACATGACAATTATTATTGTCATGTTCAGTACTCCTGATTTTCCCCCCTTTGCTCTGTCCCCACTCACCTGAGATATTAAATGCATGATACTTTGGCCTCAGCAAGGGTCAGATGCTGAGGAGCCATAGCTGTTCATGGTATATTTCTTTTTTCCACCCTGACCTGACACAAGATCCTAGAAGTGGGCTGAGGGAATGGGTCTAGTGTTCCAACTTTTGCTGGTCTAGTCCTGAGCACCACTTCCAGAAGTGGTAACCAAGCAGCACCAAAATCACTTAGACTAGCTGTTCTCTTTGCCCATAGAGGATTCAGGTACTGACCTCAGCCAACCTCGGAGGAATCCTGTTTCCTCCCTTCTCTGACCAAGCCTTCCTTCTAGGTTTGAGTACACAAAGTTCACCTCTGTTTAGGGAGTATAGGGTTTAGTGGATGGGGCATTCCAAATGTACCAAGATAAAGACCACATGATGCTGCATTAGTTGCTGTCTCTCCTTTATCCCTGAAATATGTATCTTGGAAGCCTTGACACCGGAACTGGTTCTTAAAGACCCTGCTGTAGAGCAACATCACAGAGTCTACTTAAAGTAAAAGCAGCAGATGATTATTAAGGATAGATATGGTCTAGATTAGGAAGATGTCCAAATTCACAGAGTGAAGATGACTGCTCCACTGGACAGTGAATAAAAAAAACATTTTTGTACAGTTGGAGCAGAAACAACTGTACAAAAAGTTACAAAATCACAATTGGCTGAAAGACAGTTGCAGACAATATAATGCAAAAGTAGGTATTTAGCAGGGCTATGTGGACAAAGTGTGAGATTACATGATTAAGTGCACATAATTGCAAGTGTCCTGGTGTGGCACTGTGGCCTAAAGTGCTGGACTGCAAAGTTGCTTTGAACCATAAGGTTGCCAGTTCAGGCTCACCAGCTGTTCCTTGGAAACCTTATACAGGGTTGCTATGGGTCAGAACTGACTCAACGGTACTTAACAACAACAACAAGTGCAAATGTATGTGCTCTTCAGTTTATTACAGGGTGGCTACAGGACAATGGCAGAAGAGATATTTTAGGTGACTTTAAAAATTACTTTCACGATAGGGTGAATGTAAAGCTAATGTTCTCCCATGTAAACTATCACATAATTCACAATAAAACGTTTTTTTAAAAATTACTTTCTCAGTTAGGTCTGTTTCTGGGGGTCTGGTGTAAAGATTTATTGATAATGCTATATGCTTCAAGACCCTTCGGGCATAAGCTGAATCATATCTTACATTTGTTTGTCCATAGTGGAAAGACCCTCTGGGGATAGACTGTGATAATCCTGCACCAGCCAGATGTCAGAGAAAAAGAATGTCTCCTTTAGGGTATATGGTTAGGTTAGCATCAAGGTTAGAGGAACTGTTGCTAGAAATGGAGTTGTATGACTTCAGCATGGATTCTAGACTCTTGCCAAGACTTTAAAATTGAGTGAAGGTTCAATTTTCAGATAGCTCTATTTATGCACATCAAGTGCCTTTGATTTTAAATTCCCATACAATTCTGTCTCTAGTAGAAAACGCCTGCCGTGCTTCCCCTTTCCATGAAATCAGGGACTCTGTCTTTGTGGGTTACTGGGATGTTCATGGCACTTGTATTCATTTCCAAGTGAGGGAACCAGCTGAGGCTCTCCCGAATATTAAATGGAGAAAGTACAAAGAGCTGTATTTATATATTAGACTTACTTTCATCCAGTCTTTCAACACCTGTTGGAGGAGCATACTGAAAGTGCCATGGGCTACCAAAAGAAAAATCAAATGTGTTTTGGAGGAAGTGCAGCCAGAGTGCTCCTTGGAGGCCAGGATGGCCAAACTTCATCTCTCATACTTTGGACATATTGTCAGGAGGGACCAGTCGCTGGAGAAGGATATCATGTTTGGTAAGGTGGAGAGTCAGAGAAAAAGAAGATGGTACCTAACAACAGCGAGATGGATTGGCAAAGTGGCAGGATCAGTGGGCTCAAGTGTGGCAACAATTGTGAGGTTGGCCAGAACCAGGCAGTGTTTCATTCTGTTGTACCTAGGGTCGCTATGAATCCAACTCGATGGTACCTAACAACAACAATAGTAATAATCTCAGTTATTATTTTATTAATTCAGTGTCTGTTGTATGCCAAGTACTAAACTGCTAACTACAAGCTTGGCAGTTCAAACCCACCTTGAGACACCTTGGAAGAAAGGTCTGGTGATCTGCTTCCAAGCTTTAAGCCTATGGAGCAGTTCCACCCACACAGGATCACCATGAATTGGAATTGACTAGAGGGTAATTAACAAATGTACCAGGCAACATATTTAGCATGTATTTATCTTTTCCTCTTTTTAATACTACTGTGCCGTAGCTATTATTAATGCCCTTTTTCGTAAGAGCAGAGTGAGACAGAGTTTGTTTGTTGATGATGAGTCATTTAGTCACTTCCAATTCATAGAGACCCTGTTTAGGATT